CTAATCACTAATTTCCTAGCCCTAAATCATGAAATCAAAGTAGAAATTAGGGGTTTTGGGTAGAGTTAGGGTTTCGAGAATTTTGGGTGATCCAACCTCAATTTGGGGTCGAATCTTAAAACAAATTGCATATTTGAACTCGTGGGGTTATGGGTGATTGGGTTTTGGTCCGAGCCTCGTGTTTGGACCATGTGGGCCCGGTGTCGAATTTTGGTATTTTTGGAAGAATGCTAGGAAATTCATTTCTAGGCTATGGGATTATGTTTTTGAGCCTTTATTGATATTATTGAATTAATTATGCCTAGATACCATTGTTTCGGAGTCGGATTGTAGAGGAAAGGCGGTATTAGAGAGTTGATTGCTATTCTCGGACCGAGGTAAGTGTTTGTTCTAACTTTGGCTTGAGGGAACAGGACTAGGATGTTATTTGCTAACTGCTAAATGTGGAGTACGGTGTATAGACATGGTGACGGTTATCTATGCACCGGAGTCTAGCATGACCGTGAGTCTTAATTGTGTTTGACTCGGATTTTTGTGATACATCTTCCTTGTTTAATTGATAAGTTTCATATAATGTGAATGGTTGAGGAAGAATTGTGATTGGTATATTATTGGAGCGTTGGCTCGAACTGGAAATTGATAATTGAGAAAGAAGTGATTAAAAGAGGAAGTGTTGTGATTATTCCCTTGCCGGGACGCGTAGTCTATTATTGTTATTGCTCCCTTGCCGGGATTTAAGCATTATATGTATTCTCCCTTGCCGGGATATTTGGGCTGTTAGTTGTACCCTTGCCGGGTTAAATCGTTATGTTGTTGAATTCCCCTAATGGGGCCTCCTCTAGAAAGATTATATCCACTTATGAATTATGAAATGGGATCGTGTGGCACGCCGTCCACTTATGAATTATGAAATGGGATCGTGTGGCACGCCGTCCACTTATGAATTATGAAATGGGATCGTGTGGCGCGCCGACCACTTATAAATATATACTATGGGATCGTGTGGCACGCCGACCACTTATATGAGTCACAGTATTGATATAGTTTCGTTGTTATATCCGTTGATCTGTTTTCACTGTATCCCCCCGAGCATGCCCCTCCCCAGTTTTATTTGATGTTTTCTGTTGTTATTTCCGTTGCCTTTGTATATATATATATATATATATATATATATATATATATTATAATGAGATGAATAAGATTACTTTACCCTTAATTAGAGGTTTTGATTTTGCACCTTTATAATGAAAAAAAGAAAATCCTAAGAGGGAGCGTTTTTCCCTAAAATAAAACTTACAAGGCGCGCGAATCAAAATTAGTCGAGATCCTAAAGTTTATCGAAAAATAAGTGGAAAAAAAAAAGACTAATATAAGGGGCCAGAAGGTGTCGATATAAAGTCACTGACGGTGGATTTTATATTTTGGACTATTATTTAATTTGAAGCATTTAGTCAATCATTGTCGATAGAATCTAAGTGACAAGAGATGTTAATACCTGAATATTCAAATTACTTATATTGATTAAAATAATATACGTCACAATTATTAATTTGATAAAAAAATTTGACAAGCAATTTAAAAAGGTTTCTTTATGAATTTATATTGATTATTCTTGTGCAAATGACTCCATGCATGTTAAGAGCATCTTTTTTCTTTTATTTTCTATTCTTTGGAAGAGCAACACTTTCGACATGTATGCTTGGAATCTTTTTAAAGAAGCTTAAGGGCACTTCAGTCATTTCTCATCAGCTATATAAGTGTCCTTTTGTGCTCTTCCCACATATACGTGTATGTTTTATGCTACTCCCACATGTATGCTTTTCTTTTTTTTCAACATATTCCTTACCAAAGCACACACAAGAAAAGACATCAGAGAAATCGATCCATCGCAAGACCAATTCGAAATCAGGTAAAAATTCCTTTCTGAAGTTCAGATTTGAGTTTGATTCAAAGTTATTTTGCTCGATTATTGCTCTGTATCAGCTTTGCTCCTTAGTTTCTAGCTTTTAATCCATTCTTTTTGGTTTTGGCATTTGTTGGCCTGTGAGTTGTGTTTGTACCTGTGATTTGTGCTGAATTTTCCCACTTTGTCCCTCAAATCCCTTGAACTTGAGGTAAATTTCTTAGTCTTTAATATCAATTTTGTTATTTTCTATGTGTTGTTTCTCCTTTTCTTTTTGTTCCAATTTGTTTCAACTCACACAACATCCGAAAATTTTGAGTTAGGGTTTTGATGGATGAAATTGGGGGAATGTGTTTTTTTAACAGACACTGCTGTGTGAATAAAACATGGCGTTTTGATATTTGATAAAAATGCGTTTTTTCTTTGTGTGTGTGTTTGGGAGTGGAATACAACATGAGTTTTTGATATTGAAGTTTTTTCTTTGTTATGTGGGTTTGTCATTGAAGTGTTTATACATTTCAGTCTGTAATTTTTTTTTGTTCTTGTGCTATTTTTTGCTGCTTACTTTTTGTGTGAAATGGTTTGGTAGTTTGGTTTGGAAAATGGAGGTGAAGAACCACTATCAAATTTCTGAAATTTAGAGGTTTGGAACATGAAGGTTAATGCCCCTCCTGGTTTAGATTTTTTGATATAATCAAAATATTAAAGTATTACATGAACAACATAGCCAATATAGTCTCACAAGGATAGAGATGATGTTTCCGAATCATATGATAAGAATGTTATTTGCTTTCAGAAGAACTCGAGACACAACTATAGGAGTACACACTCATCATTACTGCTAAGCCATGAACCTTCAGAATAATTAAGGCAACTTTTTCCCACCTTCAGAGAATCCTAGGAATTTTAACACACAGTATTGTATTATCCAAAAGAAGTTAAAAAGATATGCCAAATAAAATGAGGGAATTAACATTCAATGAGCTAATAAACCTCATATGTAAGTAAATATTCATGGCTCTGCTGGGAAAGACAGCTTTTATTGCCAGAGCAAATAAGTTTACCATACAGAATTAAATTATAATACATAAAACTGAGCTATTATTAAAGATGAATGGTGACTTTGGCTTTTGACGCTCGAAAAATAGAAGCCATAGACCATTCTGTTTTGAACATTCTGCAATGCCTTCTTTTTGACCATTCTGTTTCTTGTGTTCGAGAAAATAGATCTTCAAAAGCAGATGATTTACCAGGCCTAAAAGACCAAGTGTACCACTTATTACCAAAAGTTGCTTGGAATACATTTTTTCATCTTTCTTAAAAAGAATAATTAACAGGTCAATAAATATTACCTACACCCTTTAGTAAATTAGTTGTCACCTGTGTATCACCATCAGTCATGTAAATATAGTAGAGACAAACAATAAGAAAGCTTTTTGACAAGTCAAATTTTCATTTTTTCTTTAATGAAATATAAAATACAAATGTTACATTGAGCAGTTCAAAGTCTTGCAATACAACTCCTACATGGTAAAAATGTGAATCAAGGCTGGTCCATCCTATTTTATGCAGTATTATAGCAGCCAACCAAAGCTAATAAGTCATTTTTATTTGGATGACAAGTATTGCGTTCAATTCGAAAGGCATGGTTTTCACTTTTTAGTATGTCTCTTCATAGGATAGCTTCCAACACAAGTTCTCTCCATTGACAGATAATAGATGTAAACAAGTGATTGCTTTGTTCTACTGCTCTGTCACACGTGTTAGCAAAAGGAGAAAGTATCGGAGTGAGTAAAAGGGATAAATAAATGAATGCATGAATGAGAACCGACCCGTCTTCCCTTCTTTCTCTCGCTATTCACTCTGCCCTCCTCCATATTTCTTCCTTTTCTGATCTCTCTCTTGCCTGAACACATCCTTCTTGAGCTTTTCGTGTAACAACCTTTCTTTATTACTTACTTTTTTTTATCTTACTTATTTTCTTATTTTTTATTTTTTTTCATCTGTCAATTTGAAGCACTTCGGGTTTATCATCAAGTATGATTATGGGTCTCTCTCTCTTTTTTTTTTTCTCTGTTTATCTAAGTTGTTTGTGCTTTGATCTGATTCTTGATGCATATTTTAGGTTTTTCTTTTGTGGGCTTTTGCTATCCAGTGTAGTCGATGCAAAATATTTGAAATGTAAATTAAAGGAATTAGCTTTGTAGCTTGACTTGCTAGCTAGCTATCTTTGAGATTTCCTCTGTAATTTAGGGGTTTTACATCTTTCAATTTGGGACAGGTTTTAATCTTTTTGGATTGATGTAAATTAAAGGAAGTATATTTGTGGCTTGCATCTATCTATCTATCTATTTCTGAACTTACACATTTACAACTACTTTACCGGTTTGCCCTTGTAACTTATAGGGTTTTCATGTGTCAGTTTGGGGCAAGTTTAATCTCTTTGGAATATGAAGTATGGTACAGCACGGTAATCAAAACACAAAAAAAAAAAAAAAAAAATGAAAGTGTGAATGTTGTGAATCTTGCTTCATTTTGATTTGAGGAAAGTGGAAAGTTCAGTTCTTTGTATTACAATCTGTTAGAGAACCAAAGTTTGGAGTTCCTCAATGCAAAAAAGTGGTATTTTTGCTATTGAGCTGAAAAATAATTTTTTTTTCTCAAATTAGAAACAAATAGAAACTGATATAAACATCAAGATTTAAGACTTGAGGCCTTAAACATATCCTTTTATATGCAAGCATTAGAAATGCTAGCGGAAAAAATTAAATTCATGAAGAATCAAAAATTTCAACTGCATTAGAAATAATGGTAACTGAATTAGCTGGCTCAACCCTGAAAATTGAGTGATGATAATTGTCTTCACAAAATTTTAACTTTTTTCCCTTAGACTTGCTTCATGCTTACTGTTTAGTTGATTTTTTTAAACTTTTGCTTTATCCTTATCTGATAGGAACGAGTAAAATGTTGCTTTTTGGTTACTTTACGTTTCACTTTTGGTGTTTTGATTATTATGTAAAGATTTGTTTGAGTCCTAGAAAGGAACCCGTCAGCTGATTGTATATTTTGTATCAAATTTCGTATGGAGATAGTCATACTCATATTTTTAGTTCCATTTTGTGGAGGCATGCAGATTTTCAATTTATCTTCTTTATTATTGCAATTCTAGCGGTCCATTGTGGTTGTTTTCTACTTCTGTTATTCAGTGGCACTCGAACGAGAAGGTAAATTTTCTAATATCTCGTGATGTATTTTTAGGTATTGTAAGTTTTTGCTTGAGTTATTTTAAAAACTTATAATAAACATATATTGGTATTAGACGATGTTGAAAATATTTTCAGTAATGCAAATACGCACTTGACATTTCTCCTTCAGGAAATAGATGAGTGAAATGTCGAGTAAAAATCATAAAAATGAAAGCTCCGGAGAAATACATCCTGACAAGAAGGCTAGGCGACACGAATTATACCGGATGATGCAAGACGATAAAAAGGAGGCTCTCCTAGCACGAGCACGAGCGCGAGCAAGTAAGGGTGAAACAAGTGGCCGGCAACTTCCTGCCTGCTCGCTAATTAATAGCTTTGTTACCGCATCATCCTCTATGAGTGCTAATACTTCAAGCGAGCAATATCTTCCTTTTGTGGGATATTCAATAAATGAAACAGGTTAGAGAGCTAAACTGTCATTTCTTGATGGTATACGCAATTATAAATACGTATATGCATTTATAACTATCAAAATTATATACTTATACTTGTTATTGTTGTATACTTGTTATTTTTGTATCCCAGGATCTACATCTAACACAAATCATAAACAATATACTGAAGAGTCAATAACAATTCAACCATCAACTGATTATCTTATGTTAAAGACTGTTCCCAAATGCAAATTTTGCGGAGCCAAAAAATTTGAATACGAACCACCCGCATTCTGTTGTCGCAAAGGCACTGTTAAGCTGATTTCACATCAAGTACCACAAGAGTTAATAAATCTGTATCTAGGAAATACTGAAGAATCAAAGCATTTTCGAACCTACATAAGAACATACAATAATATATTTGCTTTCACATCCCTGGGAGTAAGCTATGACAAAGAGCTGGCAAAAAGGAATAAAGGTATTTATACATTTCGAGTTCAGGGATAAATGTATCATTCCATAAATGACTTGATACCAAGTAATGAAAAGGAAAAATTCTACAATTATATTTCTATGATAATGAAAATGAAGTGAGCAATCGAATGGCATGTTCCAGTAAATTGAACGAGGATACTGTGAAAAATTTAATGGAAATATTAAAAACCAATTCTTACACTACGTTTTTGAAATCCTTAATAAATATCCCACAATTATCAGATTTCTAAATTGCGCTTAAGTGTGATGCTGGTCTAGATCAATGAATAGACAACCTACCAACTACGTCAGAAGTGGCAGGAATATGGGTAGAACAAGATACCAATAATTGTATCCCTACACCACATATCCGAATATATACAAAAAGTGATAGAAGCCAGCTGGTAAATTATTATTACGGATGTTATGACCCATTACAATATCCATTACTGTTCCCTTACGGTCAAAATGGTTGGCATTGTGGTATTCAAAAACTTAAGCCTTCGGCTACCCCTTCTAGAACACATCCGTATTGTGAATACGAAATTGCCATGTGTAACCAATATGACTTCAATTGATGGATTCCTTGACATGGAAGCTGAAGTGATGCAAAAAGGCAAACGAAAAATTGAAACAGTTTCCTGTCGTGAATACTATTGTTATCAACTCCAAATTAGAGATGATGAAAATATAATCTTACATTCAGGACGATTAATTCAACAATATGTTGTAGACGAATGGATAAAAGTTGAAACTCAAAGATTAGATTTTTCTTTTTTCAATCAAGATTTATTCAGGATGGACGTGTTAGCGGGACTTTTAGATCTTTTACGACGCGGTGAGAGAGAAGGCTCACAGGTAGGTAAGAACAGAATACTTCCACTTAGCTTCACAGGAGGACCAAGAGATATGCGTCGCCAGTATATGGATGCTATTGCATTAGTGCAGCATTTTGGAATACCCGATATATTTCTAACTATGACATGCAACCCTTTTTGGCCTGAAATTCAAGAAAACTTGTTGTCGACAGATGAGGCCCAGAATAGACCCGACTTAGTTAGCCGAATATTTCGAGCAAAACTAGAAGAGCTTAAAAAGGATATACTAAAAAGAGAAATAATTGGTAAAGTTGCAGTATTTATGTACACGGTCGAATTCCAAAAACGGGGACTTTCGCATGCTCATTTTCTTATTATACTCGATGAAAAATACAAACTACAGACTCCTGAGGCATATGATAAATTTGTTTGTGCTGAATTACCGGATCCTAAAAGAAACTCTGATTTATTTAAGCTTGTTACACGACATATGCTACATGGTCCTTGCGGTCAATTAAATCCAACTAGCCCCTGTATGAAGAAAAAAAACGGTCATTGTAAATTTAAGTTTCCAAAAGAGTTTGCTGAACAGACAACTAAAAGAAAAAATTCATACCCTATTTATAGAAGACGAATTACAGGAAAATCTGTGGAAATTAGAAGACAACTTTTTGATAATTCATGGGTTGTTTCTTACAATCCATACTTACTTGGTAAATTTAATTGTCATATAAATGTGGAGATTTTCTCTGATATTAAAGTTGTTAAGTACATTTATAAGTATATTTGCAAAGGACATGATAAAATTGCATTTCATATACATCCTAATAACATGAATATAGAAGTAGATGAAATAAAAGAATATCAATCTTCTAGGTGGGTGTCACCACCTAAGGCTGCATGGCGCATATTTGCTTTCCTATCAGTGAAATGATTCCAAATGTATACCATCTTCAACTCCATCTTGATGGACAACAAATTATTTCCTTCAAAAATACAGACAATATTAGTAGAATTGTAAATAATCCTATGATTAAAAAAATAATGTTAACTGAATTTTTTAGAATGAATAGCGAAAATAAAAATGCTATGACTTTGAATTTATTATACCGGGAATTTCCAAAATATTTTGTATGGTCCGCAACATACAAAATGTGGTCGCATCGTCAACAAGGATATGCTATTGGTAGAGTTGTGTCATGTCATCCAACCGAAGGAGAAAGATACTATCTTAGATTGCTCTTAATGAATGTAAGAGGGACAAAATCGTATAAAGATTTGCGAACTGTAAATGGAATAGCTTGTGACACGTTTAGAGAAGCTACGGAAAAAAGAGGATTATTACTTTGCGATAATAATTTAATAGAATGCATGTCAGAAGCAGTAAGTTACCAAATGCCACACAGTTTAAGACACTTATTTGCTATACTATTAGTTTATTGCAATCCTGCTAATCCAAGAGAGTTGTGGAAAAAATTTGAAAGCCCGATGTCTGAAGTTTCAAAAAATACCCAAACATGCATACAAGAGAAATTCGTTGCAAAGTACTAAATCATATTAATGATATTCTTCATTCAATGGGTCGTGATATCAACGAATTTGAACTAACTCATGGCAAAATTCAACCATATGCAACAGTCAAAGAAGCTAAAGATGTACGTTTTGAAAGGAATATTATCTTTAATGAACAAGATTTGCTATTGCCATATAAACTAAACATTGAACAAAGAAGAGCTTACAATATAATCCTTGATACAATATTCTCAAATAAACCCGGAGCATTCTTCATTGATGGATCAGGCGGAACTGGAAAAAGCTTTTTATATCGTGCCTTATTAGCTACAGTGAGGCACAGAGGATTTATAGCATTAGCGATTGCGAGTTCAGGTGTTGCTGCTTCACTTCTTCCTGGAGGCTGAACTGCTCATTCCCGATTTAAAATACCTATTGATGTTGATGGAAATTTTAGTTGCAATACTAGTAAAAAAAGTTCACTGGCATCATTGATTCGAGATGCAAAACTAATAGTATGGGACGAAATTTCAATGGCAAAAAAAGAAATGATTGAAGCACTAGATTTGCTCCTTAGAGATTTAATGGAAACAACTATGTTGTTCGGCGGAAAGGTTGTTGTATTCATTGGCGATTTTAGACAAACTCTTCCCGTTGTCCGGGGTGGACAAAGGGAAGATTTTGTTCGCGAAAGCTTACTATGTTCTGAAATTTGGCATCAACTTGGAATATTACAACTGTCCGAAAATATGCGTGCGAAAACAGACCCAGCTTTTTATGAATATTTGATGAGAATTGGTAATGAAAAAGAAAGAAAAAATGATAAGAGCAAAATAGAAATTCTCCTTCCTCTGATCATACCCTTTATGTCACGACCCAAAATCCACTACGGGTCGTGATGGCGCCGGACACTACTGTCAGGCAAGCCAACTAAGTTATCAATTAAATTCTCTTTTAATACCTTTGAAAACCTAGGATTCTTCCTTCCATTTTTCATAATTAAAAACAATTTCTACTTCAATTCGAATTAAGTAATAACTATTAGTACACATCTCTGAAAAACCATCCCAGAACCCGGTGTCACAAGTGCATGAGCATCTACAGATAAGGAAATAAAATATAATATCCGTCCGAAATACAGTGGACAGGAATTAAATACCATAAGCTGAAAGGAACTACACTAGCTGCGGGTCGCCTCAAATAATGCAGCTCACCTAGTCCTAGAATTATCCGCGCCGCTACGCCCGGTAGGCCACTGGAGTTACTTATACATGTGGAACAAAAATGCACAGAAGTGTAGTATGAGTACGTAATCAACGTGTACTCAGCAAGTATCCCGTCTAATCTCGAAGAAGTAGAGACGAGATGGTCAACTTTGATACTTACTAGTGGTCCAATAATAATATACTAAATGTGTGAGGAAATCAGGGATTTTATATAGCAGTTCTAACTCACAAAGCGAGAAAACAGGTAAACACCTTCAACAAGTAATAAAGCATTTTCTTTTCATTATTTTATCAATTTATACCAAGCCATGAAAGGCAATACCCACATTTAAAAAATTTTCAGGAAAAACAATATATATATCATGCGCAAATCATGCCGAGGTTGACGGCCTGCTCCAACAGAAATGTAAACTGTGCACTACCGAGGGTCGAACGGCCCGAACCATAGATTCATCTATTTAATCTGCCGAGGCGTTCGGCCCGTTCCATAAATAAACACATACCCTGCTCGCGAATCATGCATGCGACGCAGGTACACATTGAGATACATGCTCAATCAGTCAATTAGGAACTTATCGGGGATATTTATCCAATTAAGACAATTTCTCTTTTTAACAGTTCAGGGAAATGATGTTAATCTCCTTCTAAATTCATTTACTAATCCAAGGTGACTTATGCAATTCAAGCTATCAATAGGTTCATAAATAATCCAAGTATAACATGCTTATGGGTCCTAACTACCCGGACAATAGCATAACAGTAGCTACGCACGGACTCTCGTCACCTCGTGCGTACGTAGCCCCCACAAACAGGAGCACATAATCAATTATTACACCTATGGGGACGTTTCCCTCTTACAAGGTTAGAAAGGAGACTCACCTCGCTCCGAAGACTCATAACCGGCATTCTACATTCCTCCGAAGACTTGCACCAACGCACAATGCTCCAAAACTAGCCAATGATTATACAAATCCATTAATATATGCTTAATTAAACTTTACAACCCAATTTGTAACAATTCCTAACCCCGAACGAAAAGTTGACCAAAATGCCCTCGGGCCCGTGTGCCCGGAATCCAAAATTTCTTGAAGATAAAGTTTACCCATGAACTCACGAACTCAAATATATGATTTTCTCTTACTTCCATACTCAAAATCGTGGTCAAAATTCAAGAACACTAATTTTCTAGGTTTTCCACCAAAACCCCAAATTTATGCAATTTTCCAAGTCTAAATCCATATATAAACCTTGTATTTAACTCTAAGCTAGCATAAATTACTTACCTCATGACAAGAGACGAAAATGGCACCTCAAAGCTGCTCCCCATCGACTCCAATGGAAGAAAAATGGGGTTGAAATGAACTCAACCCCGAATTTTAAAAACCTCGCTGCCCCAGTCATTTCCGCACCTGCGGACACTGGACCGCTTCTGCGGTTCCGCAGGTGCGGTCAACAGCCGCTTCTGCGATCCGCCCTGGCCGCCCCCTTTTCGCTTCTGCGATTTCCACTTCCGCAGATGCGGTCCCGCTTCTACGGAACCTTAACCGCATCTGCGGTCCACCAACCTTCGAAGAAACCCGCTTTTGCGGCTCCCTCTACCGCTTCTGCGGGGCCGCTTCTGCGGTCCCATTTCCGCAGAAGCAGAAATACCAGCAACCAGCAAACCTCAGCCTTCCCAAAAATCCATTTTCGATCCGTTAACCACCCGGAATTCACCCGAGGCCCCCGGGATCTCAACCAAGCCTACCAACCAATCCGAAAATACATTACGGACCTACTCGAGGCCTCAAATCATATCGAACAACGCTAAAACCGTGAATTACACCCCAATTCAAGCTTTATGAACTTTAGAACTTCAGACTTCTATTTCCGATGTTTAAACCCATCAAATCACGTCCGATTGACCTCAAATCTTGCGCACAAGTCATATTTGACATTATGAACCTATTCCAACTTCCGAAATCGGATTCCGACCCCGATATCAAAAAGTTCACTTCCGGTCAAACTTCTCAAAAACCTTCAAATTTCTATCTTTAGCCAAATGGCTTCAAAATGACCTACGGGCCTCCGAATTCACTTTCGATCGCGCCCCCAACTCCAGAATCACCATACGGAACTATTCATAGTCTCGGAATCCCAAACGGACATTGATAACACTGAAGTGCACTTCAAACCAAACTTATGAAATTTCTTCCAAAATGCCAACTTCCACAATACGCGCCAAAACACTCCCGGGTTATCCAAAACCCAATCCGAGCATACGCCCAAGTCCGAAATCATCATACGAACCTGCTGGAACCTTCAAATCCCGATTCCGAGGTCATTTACTCAAAATTCCAATCCTAGTTCATTCTTTAAATTTTAAGCTTCCAAAATAAGAATTCTCCTTCCAATTTAACTCTGGACTTCCCGAAATTCAATTCCGACCACACGTACAAGTCACAATACCTGAAATGAAGTTGCTCATAGCCTCAGACTGCTGAATGACGCGCTAGGGCTCAAAACGACCGGTCGGGTCGTTACATTCTCTCCCACTTAAACATATGTTCGTCCTCGAACGTGCTGAGAATTACACTGATGTAGTCTGAAATCACTGTTTAACTTCTCATGCACCTTCCCGTGCTACCACAACTTAGTTGAGCACATTAGCTCGATAAATTCTGAAGATATTCCCTTTTATTCAACAAATAAGCCTAGAGCCCAATTCCAACATCCGAAATTTCTATGCCAGGCCTGTTTCCAACATACGATCACCATATCAATCACTACACGCTGTACTCAAACACGACTGCATAACTTTGTTGAATTCACACTTTGCATCACTTACTCATAGGACCACAATAACCCTTCTGATCGTATTAATCGAAATTCCACGGATCCGATGCTCCTATTGCACCTCATGACCTGCATAGGTCTTGCTCTTATTCTTACAATAACACCAAGACGGAAGAGATGTGCAGAAATTCATAATCAACTGCCGAGCCAACCAATCATTGAGCCTATACTTCTGACAAGTAACATTACCAAATTCTGAACAAAATAATGGTCTATGATCCTTAATATATTTTGCGTAATCAGATTGCACTGATCCTAAATCCAACAACCTCGTCTCACCTAGTATGAACTGCTCAGGCAATAAGCCACCCCGACATGACCAAAAGTCTCATATGATGCCACAATGTGCCAATAGGCTACC